TGGGGCAGAAGAAACAGGAGATGGGCTGCTTCAGCCAGGTCACTGGTTCAAGAGACCAACATTGCCACCAGCACCGGGACACCAGGAGTCACAGAATCATAGGACAGGACTTGGAAGGGACCCATCAGGATTGAGTCCAACTCCTGTCCCTGTGTGAGGCACCCCAAGAATCACACCACATGCCTGAGAGCATCATCCCAATGCTTCCCAAGGACCAAACAAACGAGTCCCAGAGAGCAGCCACCACTGCGTCTCCTTTCCACCCTCAGATCCCTCCACATCACCATGATGGACACAGCCCAGACCAAACAGCACGTCCAAAGCCTCTCTGCCCACCCATGCTCCCAGTCACAGGGGCTTTCCCAAGATGTGGGAGCTCAACAGACAGATTCCTTCCTGCAAGGACCATGATCCCTGACATGCAAGAGGCCTCCCAGCACAGCTGTTGAAGTGGAAGGTGGCCAAGGCTGTGAGAAGCTACACCAGGATCCTGTCTGAGGCCATGCAGGTACAACACAGTCCTTGACAGACAGATGCTTTGGACAAAGCACAGATGGGATTAGCAGAGAGGACATCTATTATCTCCCGACCCACCGAGAAGCTGCATCTTCAACAGCTTTTCCTCTCTGTGCCTTGATTTTCCATCCAAAGACACTAAAACACACCTGCCTGGTGAACAGGTTTTGAACCTTCATTCACTGCTTCTGTCAATAGGTTGGAAGCCCTGGGATCACAGAGAGGGCTGCTTAACATCCCCTCAGGTGGAGTCAGAGCACACAAACTTTTGGATGTGCAGCAAGGCCAGGAGGCCTTTTGACAACACAAAAAAGGGGAGGTCAAAACTCATCTGGGGAGGCAGAGAGGACTGTACCAACAGGATCTTGGGTAGTTGTAACAACAGAGCCTGGAGGTGACCAACGAGGAAGGAAAAACTGCAACAGGTTGGTGGAACAAACAAAGGAGGGAAGCAGGAGGTGACAGAAAATCAGATCTCATGGCTCAAGGTCCTGTCACCTACCTCTGCATGCCCCTTGGCCTTTCATCTAGGATGTTTACAAGTGCTTTTAAAGATAATTAAGAGCTACACTCCAGCCAGCATGCAGGTACCACCTGCCTAAGAGTGCTGCAGTGCAGGGTAAGTGACCTGGTGCAGGACTCTCAGGTGCTTCAGAGCCTCCATCAAATAAAGGTGGCAGCACCTCTGCTTTACAGGTGGGAAAAGTGGCACAAGAAGTAAACACCTTTTATCTGGGATCTCAGGGAAAGCAAGGGCAGAACATGAAGATATGAGGAGTGAGAAAAGGACTCTCAGATACTTTCTCCTCGAGTGACTTCTCAGCTGAGGCAGCACTGAAGGACCATGCTGACCTTTTTGCTTCTCACCCCTCCAGCCCCCAGCAGTGCCCACCACCAGGACTCTAAACCCACAGCTCTGCCACCCCAGCCCTGGGACAGAAGAAAGGCAGACTGTTCCCCCCCAGCCTGCCCCATTTACACCACGTCCCATCCTCTGCCTTCCCCAATTTCCCAAGCAGAAACAACACCCTGTTGTCAAAGTCACTGGTGTGTCCCTGTCCTCCCAGCCCCCTCCAAATTGCCGCCCCCAAAGTCACAGAATCACTTAGGTTGGAAAAGACCTTCAAGATCACCAAGCCCAACCACTAACCCTGCTCCACCAAGTCCAGCACTCAGCCATGTCCCCAATCACCACATCTAGATGACTTCTAAACACATCCAGGGACAGTGACTCAGGGATGGTCTCTCCCTGTCTCCTTCACACTCAGACCTGTGCCACCCCAGCTCCCTGCCCCCTCCATCCCACACATCAGAAGGCCCCCATACACCCCCTGCCCTGCAGGCCTACACCCACAGAGAGCCCCCTCTCCAGCCTCCTCCCCATCCCACAGCACAACCTGCCCCTCCACCTCATACCCACTTCCTACCTTCTGTTCCCCCTCTACATTCACAATGTCCCAAACTCTCTGTCCCCAACATCCCCCATTCCCACACCTCCTGCCCCTCACACACCCCATAACCGTGCTTTTGTCCACCACACATCCCTTGCCCCACAGTCCCTGCCCCCCATAACCTCATCCCCACACCCCAAACCCTTTGCTTCACTGACCCAAGACCCCTGTGCCCCTGTCCCTCACAAGCCCCATTACTACTGCCCCACACCCCTTGTTCCCTGTCCCCCACACACCCCATCCCTGCTGTCCTACACCCCCTGTCCCTCACAAACCCCATCCCTGCTGTCCTACACCCCCTGTCCCTCACAAACCCCATCCCTACGGCCCCACACCCCTGTCTCACACATACCCCCTTGTCCCACAGTCCATCCCTGCTGCCCCACACCCTGCCCCTCACACACCTCATCCCTGCTGCCCCC